AAAACCACATAGCAACATTCTTAAATGCTTAAAACGCCTTAGCAACTGTATAGCAATGCCCTGGCAACCACCCACAGCACCTTAAAAACCACACAGCAGCACTCTAAAATGCTCAAGTGCCTTAGCAACTGTATAGCAGCGCCCTGGCAACCACCCAGGACACCTTGAAAATACATAGCAGCACTCTTAAATGTTTAAAACACCTTAACAACTGCATAACAACGCCCTCAGATATGGTGTGTTCCCAGCTGTATTCATAAATGATTTCGGACTTTTTGATGCTGCTTTAGCTGCTGTGTCTGCTAATGTTGAAGTCAACAGTGCCAGAAGTGGGTCGATGGCAATGGCAGCATTATATTTTCCTTGTATTCTGTAGCATAATTGTTTTTGCATTGGTTCCTTTCAGCGATCTGACGACTCCTGCTCTCTCTGGCGCAGGTTGTCCGCAGTGAAGCTTTTCTAAAGCCCAGAGAGACGTTAGCATGAAAAAGAACCCGTTCTGACATGGACTTCAGCCTCATTCTGGCCTCTCTCTTTCCTTCAGAGCTACTGTTCTTTCATATTCTTCTTTTTCTGTGTTTTTAGAGAGTCTCTGTCTCTGAAAGGGTTTAATTCAGAGCTCTTTTCACTGCTGGGCTGCTTGGCAGTGAAATATTCCACCGTATTCATCTCGCCTTTTTTCAGACATTGTTTTTTTTCCCTGGTGCTCTTGGACTCATGACAGCTTTCAGAGGATGCAGCACATTATAAAACTAGGAAACTAGCTGCAGCTCACAGACCTGATGCTTCTCATTTTAAAAATTGCATGTTTTTATTTGCATTGACTGTTTGATTCTTTCATAGTGGTTTTATGCATCTTCAGATGGTGCAAATGGTTCGTATCGTTTATTCACATGACTGACGTCCTGCAGCATTTGTGCTCCTCAAATCATGTGTTTTGCTGAGAAATGTTCTGTATTATTATTATTATTATTATTATTATTAATAACTTTTATAATTTGTATAATTTGTATATTTTTAAATTTTTTAAATTTTATTTTATTTGTTAGGTATTTAAATGGTTGGTTCATTTACTCACAATCATTCTGCAGTGTTTGTGCTCCAGACATGAATAATTAATCAAATCATGTGTCTTTTTGAGGATAAGTTTGTTGGTTATTTTATTTGATTTACCTTTAAATTTACATAAATTTTATTTTAAAATAAAAGAAATATTTTGTTTTATTTATTTATTTATTTATTTATTTTTATTATTATTATTATTATTATTATTATTGTTATTATTATTATTATTATTATTATTATTATTATTTTGTATTCCAGACCCAAATGATTCCTCAAATCATGTGTCTTGAGGAGAAGTGTGCTGGTTATTTTATTTGATTAAATATTTTATTTTATTTTAAGATTATTTCTTCACATTGGTTTTATGCATCCTTTATGCATTTCAATGGTTAGTTCATTTACTCACAATCATGTTGTTCCAAACCTGTATATAACTTGCTTTATTTAATGGAAATATAACCTGTATATAACTTGCTTTATTTAATGTAAAAGGAGCATGTAATTCTGCCTGATGCCAATTTGCATGGGAGACTGAAAGTTGCATTGTTTGGAATGACATCAGAGTGAGTATATGAATGAGTACTAAAACAGTAAATGTTTGAATGAGTGTACTGAAGTGTGGCTTTACACTGTAAGAAAAAAAAATGGTGGAAAAACATAAAAGGTAATGGTAATTTTCTGCCAGAATATTTTTACAGTGTTTTCATATATGTGTAAACATGGGGTCTCTGAGTGCGTCCCCTGTGTATTGGAGATCATGAGAAAGTTTCCAAGTCTTTTCTGGGAATATACACTGGACAAACTCCTCCTAAAGCAACTATAACGGCACTCGAAGCTCCTTGTTCTCTTCTGTACGTTGCTCCTGAGGGACCGGCAGCACTTTATGAAGTACACTTTTCCTCTGGCAGTATATTAGGCACGAGAGAGATGCAGGATTTGTGTGGGATGCTTGATTTTGATTGCTTCGGTGAGATAGTGATGACATTTTTAAAACACACAACAGCACATTATCGCTTCCTTTTTATTGCCTTGTCGGAAAATGTTTTCGGTGTGATGCATCTGCGTTAAAGTGCACCAGATCTAACAGTTAACCAGTGGAGTACATACACTCTAAAAAACAATGGGTTAAAAACAACCCAATTTGGGTTGTTTTTAACCCAAGGGCTGGGTAAATATACAGTAGGACAGAACCTGTATTTTACCGAAGAAATGCATCAATTCGATGGCGTTTAGAACTGCTCTCTCCTGAAGAGGACGCAAAATCCCCACGATAAATAACTCAACCGCTGGGTTATGTCTGACCCAGGAGCTGAGTAACACAAAAACTACCCAAACATTGGGTTGTTATATTTAACCCAGGAGCTGGGTAACACAAAAACTACCCAACCAATGAAAAATACATTTAAAAAAAAAAAAAGAACATTGGATAAAGCCAGGTTCAAAATTATTTTTTGACTTTGTTGACACATAAGAGTTAAAGGTTTTTATAGAGGGGATTTTGGATCTCTCCTTTTATCACTCCAACATACAGAAAAATTAATTATTTACCAGGTTTTTTTTATAGGAATAAAACTGTAAAGTTGGGTGTATGTAAGTGCTGCTGAAGTGGAGAAAAAACTCACAGAAGAAATGTGTTGTAATTGAAATCTGCAGATGCAAATAGGTAAAGCACAATAATAAAATCAAGCGAATGATATATGAACAAACCACTCTGTAAAAACTTTCAGAATATATATAAGAATAAAACTGTAAGGTTTGGTGTATGTAAGTGCTGCTGAAGTGGAGAAAAAACTCACAGAAGAAATGTATTGTTATTGAAATCTACAGGTGCAAATAGTTAAAGTGCATTAAAATAAACATTTATAAGTGTATTTTGGATGTTGTTTTTTCAAAAAGTCTGAAAGAAGACAGGCTGTGGAAGCAAAATAGACCAAAATCTCAAAACTGTGGTGTTGTGTCAGGAGGATGATTTCCTATTGAAAGTTATCTGCTTTATTTCATTGGGCTGAAAATACCCATGATTAGATCACCCTAACAAACATCTTTTACGAGTTAAGAACATTTCTCCAGAGTTACGCATTTCACACTTTTCCCAAAGACTCCCTTGAAGGATTTCTCCTCTGTTTTTTTGCCCTCTGCCTCTTCTCTGCGATATGTTCTTCCGCCCTCTCTGGTTTTCCCACCCTGGTTTTGCACCCGGTTATCCAGCTTTAACTGTTTCCAGACCTCTAAAACACCCACCCCCACTCCATCCATCCCTCCGTCCATTTCCACTCACAACAACCCTGTCTGATTAACCCTAGTGTTTACTTACTCACACACACACACACACACACACACACACACACACATCCTGGAGGATTTGGGTGTTTTGTGACCTCTGTCCTCTGTGAATGATCTCTAGAACACCTTGAAAGGGATCAGATCTCACATAATTAGACAGATCCTGTAAACTTTAATGTTTATATGCAGATTTAGAAGCAAACTTTATCTAGTTTTTCAGACATCTTTATCAGTTGTGTAAGTCAATCCTTACTAGTACTAGTGCAGATAATAATGTGATCAAATCTCTAAGTATTAAAGGAACACTCCACTATTTTTGAAAATCCGGGTCTGGCGGTAGCACTTTTAGCTGTAGCTTAGCATAGATCATTGAATCTAATTAGACCATTAGCATCTAGGAACTTTGCTGCCGTACCATGGGTGCAGCAGGCGCAATGATATTACGCAGCGCGTGAAAATAGGCTTATTGGAAGTTACCTAGCTGGGACTATTTTCATGCGCTGCGTAATATCATTGCGCCTGCTGCACCCATGGTACGGCAGCAAAGTTCCTAGATGCTAATGGTCTAATTAGATTCAATGATCTATGCTAAGCTACAGCTAAAAGTGCTACCGCCAGACCCGGAGATCGGTAAAACGGTAAAACTCAACTGTTTAACTCTAGGGGAGTTGGAAAATGAGCCTATTTTCAAAAATAGTGGAGTGTTCCTTTAACACTAACCAGCGTTGTTTTAGTGTCATTGATATACTATTTTGTATATTATTATTATAGATATATTTTGAATTAGATGTTATTTTTATTTTTTGTTTTCACTTTAATTTTAGTTAAAGTTTTAGTAATTTTGTTCAGTTTTTGTTATTTTTAAATGTCCATATAGTTTTTATTATTTTGTATTTATTATTTAATTTAATTTAAGTTATTTTATTACTTAAAAGTTACTTACTTTAGCACTTACAAATTAAACTAATCAAAGATGAGAAATATTTCCTTGACAAATAGCTACAATAAAAGTTGTAGTTTTTTATGTTATTTCAGTTAATGTTTATTTTATTTTAAGTAACGAAAAAGTTTTTTTTTTTAGTTTTGTTTCTCTAATAACACTATTAATGTTGAGTTTGTGCATTGTCCCGCAACACTGATTCCTCAAATCACGTATCTTGTGGAGGAGAAGTGTGCTGTTTTTTTATTTTATTATTATTTTTTTTGTATTTATGTTTTTTTTTATGCTGTTGTTTTGTTGGGATGCTCACCGTGACCGTGAGTAGATGCCAGTGAATGTGCTGCAGTGAAAAATGCAACAATAACAGCTTTTGTGAAACATGCTACTGTTTGTGTGCAGTCAGGCATGTATGTCCCTCTCTGAAGCTTGTGTGAGAAACAACCCGTGTGTTATTCCACAGCGCTGGACACACAGGAGGCACATCCAGTCATCTGAATGCAGAAGAAAGTTAAAGATCCTTTCATGGAAATACAGTCATGAACTCTTTGTATATTCTTTTGTGTGCATGAGCTTTTAAAAGGTCTTCACTAGAAGTCACACTGAGTGAATTTTCTCTTTTGTAAAAATAAATGTTGAGGTAAGTTTGGTAAGATTGCTGTTTCTTTTGGCTTTGAGGTGAATCAATCCTGAGTTGTTTTCCCTCCGTCTGTAGAGTCTAAATGTGTCCTGCTCTGGAAGGCAGCATGAAGAGTTTCAGCCGGTCCCAACTGACTGCCATGACAACAGGTAACAGACTAAACAAACCTCAAAATAATGTTACAATCAAAAACTAACCAAATATACTCAAACCTAAAGCTCAGTATATTCTGCACTTGACTTGTTTAATGTAACTCAAAATACTTTCTTTTATTGCTTATTTCACACATTTGGTTATTAAAAACAAACTGAGCCAGATGCAATAAAGTGAAATAAAACAAAAACTTACATGTGTATTTTGGATGTTTCTTTCCACTATATTAAAACAAGATGTTATAGAAGCAAAATAGTAAAAAATTAACCAGTGCCAGTTTTGCCTGTAGTGTCTTGCCTTAAAACTTACA